CAGTTGCATTGTGACACCTTGTGGGAACTGCTGTAGCACAGGAACAAACATGCACTGTAATAGAAGTAATCACTTTCAAACACAAAGTTTGAGTTAGAAGAATGCAATTACTTATTGTACTGCTAGATATAGATAAAGACTCCTTATTGAGCAAGATTAAGTATTTCGAATTGAAACGGTGATAGTAAGGGATAACTTATCGGTGTAATACAACTGGTTGTATTACAACCAATGATTACTTCCCTACATCCCCCTTAGTGGTTCAAATCTGTGATAGATACATTGAACTAAAGTTAAATTGTAACCAGTTATACTGGTTTTGCTATTACCCTAACAAATCATTCATGGTGCATGAAACCTGTAGATAGTTGGGATCCAAATACTGAAGTCATACCAAGTAGTTGATAGTGGTAGGATATAACTGAAAAGAAGGCTTTTGTGTAGTTATCAAGGTGACAAACTGCTGATCACAGTATATGAAAGCTTCTAACTTTTCTGTGGAGATCAGCATTTACCTTTTTTAACTAGCATTTTTGCATAATGTAGGCCCTGCACAGAGCCTTTTACAGAACCTTTATATGGAATCTTAAATTAATATTGAAAGGTTTGGTTAACATAGTTTGAAAAATGTAATGGACTGCTTGCTAATTGTTTCAGAACATAATGCTCCTTGCAGTAACATTTGAATATTGCAGATTTTTATAGTGGGCTTTTAAATTTTAATATGCAGTCATGACCTGCTAGCTGTATCACAGAGTCATGCTCCGTGTAATTGCAGAGTAGGTTTTATTAACAAAAATTTTTTATAGGATAATATGGCTCTTGAACAAAAAATATTAGTAGGAGTCTGTGTTTTGTGTTGAAGGATTGATTTAATTAATATCAAACTATAGTGAAGGACAGGAAGTGCTATCATTTCTGACATGTGGCTAAGACTTGGTCACACTTGGTTGATAAATAAAATGAGTCCGTTTTTCAAAATGTTGTATTGAATATAATTGGGAAAGATGTTTGATATCCTATACTTGTTTAACATGAATTTAAATATCTTTTTAAGACCATAACATATAGATTTATCTTTACATATTCTTTAAAGTGAATTTAAAGAAAAATAAAAAATTAAAATTAAAAAGTGAATTAAAAGCTATTGTTCAATACCAGTGCCAATGTATATTCTTTATCCAGTGGAATAAGTAACAGTATTATAAACAAAAGTTAGACAATGGTCCAATTAAATATTTAATAGGAAATTGCATTTAACTTGAGGGTTTTTTTTTCATGCAAGGTAACTTGCAGTTTGATCCATGGTGGGGGGTGGGGACCCTTATTGGATCGTAGGCATGAATTAATTGATTCTCTTCATTTCTGATATTGGAGGTAGCTACAATTATGACTTTACGTATCTCAGTATACTGCAGTATCTGTTCTTTAGGCAGTGCTTGTGAAGCAGTGAATCATAATTTTTCATATAAATGTTGAACTGATTGGTTTGGCACTTTAAAATTGAAATTAAAAAGTCTATGTGACAAAGGAAGCCGTATAAAGTAGTTCCAGTTTAACCATGGAAATTTTTTGGGGGCCAGTTACAACAGTCATGTTGGGGCTCCATTTAAAAGTAACATTGTTAGATTTTTATAGTGACTCGAAATAGGATTGTTTTGTAAGCGTTTTTTTGCAGGAACAGTGTCCTGAATCATTTTTTCATTTATCAGAGGAATACATTGTAGTAATGTAAACAAACATAAAATTTTACAAAATTTTAAATTCTTATTCTTTGCAGGACAGCTTGTTGTTTGCTATTTTTATACCATACTTTAGTTATTCAGTTAGCAAGCTGAATCAAGCTAGATAGTAGTAACAATCCCTTTTGCCTTCAAAACCCATGGCTATTTTTACAGCACTTAAAGTACTTTATGGGGGGTATCTAATAAGGGATCCGGTGGCAATTATATGCTATAACTTTCTCAATTACCAAGACAAACGGCGAAATCAATATCCTAGTAATTAAAGCTGGAGAGGCGATGGTTTGTTTCTAACACTTAAGGTCTATAGGAATGAAGAAGGGAGTGAAACGATACTAAGAAATCAGTAGAGGGATGATTGAAATTGTAGCCTACATAATTGTTCAACTTCCTAGTCAAACAATGACAAACTGTGCATATATGGCCACATGAAAAATTACACAGTGGACTAAACTAATATTAACCTTGCTGTGTCATCTGGGCTTTCTTTGTTCTGTTTGTTTTGTCTATAAAGCTTTATGAAAGTCTTTAATTGAATAATCAATCTTAGGCTATTTTTTCCTTTAAGAATTTTCTGTGTTCACATAACATGGACCTGCTTTGGAAATGAATCAAGGTTACGTTGCTAGAGGCGATTGTCTCTTACACCTTGATGTCATTTCTCGCAGGCAGTGAATGAGGCAGGGAACTTTATGAAGAGAAGAATGGTCTTGGGATATAAACAATTGAATATTGCACTGGAGAAATGTATTCTATATATGCTTCTGCAGTAGAAATGTTTGTGCAATTCTATGCAATTTGCTTAACTTGGCCTTTCCATGGTGTTCATTGTTCTAAGAGCCCAACACGTGTTTTGTGGTTTTCAGAAGTGTGGAACAATTTAAAAAACCAGACAAATGAACTGAAGTAGTTTGAAGCAGTAGTCTGAATAAATGTGGTATTTGGGGGGCAGGGGGAAAGCTACAGATATGTCAAATTGACCTTCTGAAATTAACTGATAATTTTATGACATTGGTTTCTCTGTAGTTCCATTCCTTGTCTGTGGGAGGAGACTATTAGGGTCTTCTTACCTCCATAGGGAAGTTACAACCAAAAAATCATTCTTGTGAAATTCTCTGATGCTGCGAGATAAGAGGAGCTGGAAAGAAATTAGTTTTATACCCAGTGAAAGTATGCGGCCATCAAATAATTTCTTATCATAAATCAGTGCAGAAAAATGCAACTGAATATCTGATACATTCTAAAATATAATGGTATATACCTATATATTGAGTAGTATCTCTTCAATGAATGCTGTCTTTTGTATGCATGGAATGAGGTAAAGAGTTCTTTGCTAAAAGCAAAAGAGAAAGTATATATATATAAAAAAGATTTTACTAGTGTACTGACAGAAAGAGGACAGATTAAAGTTAAGTGTGCAACACTTTTGAGGTACAGTTTTAGCATGATCATTTAGACTTTAAAAAAAAAAAAAAAAAAAAGAAACAAATATAAGAAATTCCGGCATGTCCAACCATGCTTTGTCAGCAGAGTTTACTCATGTCAGATTTTACTGGTGAGTTTAATACTGATATTTCTGATCACAGAATAACCTTGAAAAAACAGGAGTTCTGAGTTCTGTTCTGGAGTAGTCTAGTGACCCCTCTTCAGCTCATCTTCATCAGTGACTTCTACCCTACATTGGCTACTAATCTCCATCCTCAATGCTTTATCCTCTATATTTTATAGTAGTTTATTTACCTTTTTCATATGTTTGAGTGCCAGCAGGGACTGAGATTTAATGCTACAGGATAAACACTTTGCCTGTTTAGTACCACAAAACTGAGCAGCCTGGAGCATTTGGCTGGATCAGAGTATCTACTATCTATGTAACTGCTACAGTTGCACATGCATCTTCTCTTCAACAACCTTGAATAACATAGTAATTTTTTTTATTTATTTTTTTTTTTAATCTGCTTACCAGAACACTGACAATGAAAATGTTCTTTTGGTGTTTGGTTTCAGAAACTTTGGGGCACAGTAATTTAATGTATGCGAATCTATACAATTTATTTGAACCGCACATTTGTGCTAAGTCATTTGTGCCAAAAAATTTTCTGGATTAAGACTGTAAGCACTTTACACACACTCTGTTACACTTTTTCTGGGCAATTTTAATTTAGTTGGAAATGGTAACTGTTGAGTTTTCAACAAAAGCAAAGCTTGATCACTCAGCTCAAGGGGTAGAGCAGAATTCACTATTTCTTCCTTAAACTCTACGCGTTGCATTAGAATTACTTAGGGTATTTTCTTTAGAGACATTAATTTAGTACGCACTGCCTGTCAGAAAAATAATGGAGACAGTATGTGAGAATATAAAATATCTGCAATGATAATCGGTGCTGGCTTAAAGTGGGTATGAAGCTTCTATTAACTAATTTCTGAAACAGTAACCCTTAATTCAAGTCCAGCCTGAGTCTACAGCAAATACCACACTGGCAGACTGATCTTTTGGGGAACACTGTCACTATTTTTACCTGAGTTTACACTTGGAGGAATGCTGTTAGTATTTAACCACACTGTAAGCTTCAAGCAGAGATTGTAAGCCAGACTGTTTCTGATTTGTCTCTTCCTTCCGCCTCCCCATTTCTTTCCTAGGCATAGAGACCCCCAGGAAGAGAGACAATAGAAAGTACGCTTTGAAAACAAATAGAAAAATATTTAGATGCTACTTAATCATTTGCATCGCAGTGTATATACTCTGTCATTCAGTGGGGACAAGGTGGGATTCTAAAGGAAAGTTCTCAATACCACTAAGAAACATTTAGTTTGCTGCAAAGCAGCAAACGTGTTTTGTAATTTTGAACATGCAGGTTTTTACATTAAGAAATTATTTGTATTTATGAAATTTAAACATACTAAAGCTGTTACAGAAGAACTTGGTGTTTGCTGACTTCTGAATGCTTTGCTTCTACGAGTTTTTATTATGTAAAATTCAAGCTGCAGATTAATTTATAAGAGCTTAATATTTTCTCCTTTTTGAAAGGTAAGGAGAGAGTTCAAAAATCTTTGAGCACATGAGAGCAAATCCTTTATTTTGAAATGTTTCCTACCTGGTTGACATGATAGTTCTGAAGCATTCAAAGGGCAGTACAATGCTATATGAACACCTTGAGGCACACGGAAGAAAAATATGCATATACTTCTGACTGTAGAAAGCAAGAATTCTTTTTCTGTTCCCTCCAGTGAGACTGATCAGCATTTTTATTTGTCCCACAGGGGTTGTTCAGAACTTTGTCGTATACCCATGGTGGAATACAAACTTGACAGTGAAGGCACCCCATGTGAGTATAAAACCCCTTTCAGAAGGAATACCACTTGGCATCGGGTGCCGACTCCCGCTGGGCAGCCTCTCTCTCGTGCCTCTCCAATCCTAGGAACATCTGACAGACTGCAGTGCCAGCAGCTTCTCCAGCAGGCTCAGACAGCCATTCCTCGCAGCACTTCCTTTGATAGAAAACTGCCAGATGGTGCAAGGTAATATACTCTCCGTTTAATGCCTGTCATTTTCCTAATGTGCCTTACTTTCGGTATCTCTGCTTTCTAGAACTTTGGTACGCTTAGTTTTTAAACCTTATTTTGTTGAGTTTTGACAGTAATTTTAATTCTGACGTTGCATTAAAAAGCGCTCACTGAGCCCAGTTCCCTCTACTGGAAACAAGTGACTTTTGTTGTTTGTGATGGAAGTGGACTGTACTGAGGATCCTACTGCTAACCTTTCCCTTTAGTCCCAAATCAATAAAGTGGGAAACTGCCTTGTGACTTTTTGATCTAAACAATGTCCTGTCCCCCACCTTTTGGGATCCTATTTAAACAAATAATGAACGTAAATCAAATGAACTCATCCCTTTAAAAATGAATTATTTAATCTCATTACCAAGCTATTGGCATAGTTTCAAAGGGCTCTGTAACTCATTACCAGTCCTTATGCTTTGCTTTGCTTTTAATTAAACAAAGCAGAGCTGCTGATTTGAATATGTAACACCTCTTAAATGATGGGATGGTATCCTTAAATGTTAGCTCTGTTCTAATTTAATCATAGTTCCTCATAAGATAAAAATTTATTTTTAAAGTTAAAAATTTGTAAATACATTTGACCTTTGAATTTTTTAGGAAAACCATATGTCTTGAGCAGAACTCTGTCCTTTATTGTTTGCAATTATTTCTGCTTATGCCCTTTTTCCATGGAGTGATGTAGTTCTAATTTCCAAGGAAAAAAATACTGCATGTTGAAAATATCTAATTGATATGAAAATCTAAAATACTAGTCTTAACTAGCTTTAAAAAATTCTGGGTGAAATAATGAACTACTGCTATTGCTACGCTATCTATCTTGTTTAATAGAAAAGAATTAGTGACTTGTACTTTGTTTGAAATATATACAGGTAATAGCAGTACATATTTGAAAATATGTCTATATCATGGTCTGGAGGAGGCAGATTCCCAGTTATGACTATTTGATCACTTATATTCTCCTTCTTCCCTACCCCCCTCCTCACCACCTGAAAACAAGAGAGGTGCATTTCTGTAAGCGTATACATACCATTATAGGACTTAAGCTTTTCCTAATGTCTTGTTACTGAAACTCTCAGTAACATCCAGCATAAGGAGACAATGATCAAATGTCTAGAAATACTTCAGAATTTATGGAGCTTTATTAAGCATTCTGTATGCCTATACAGAGAAAAAAAGAAAGCTTTCTGACATACTACTAATTTCCAAAAAACTTCACAAACATAAGCTGCACTTTCCTAACACTCAGTGAAGCATGTGGAAAAAATGCTAAGACAGAGGCTATCTCTTGTCATGAAGAAATTCCTCTATCACTTAAAACAAGCGCAATGCAGAAGTGCTGTTCTGGGCAAGATGTTGTACAGAGTATGAATAATGAAAATAGAGGAAAATTATGAACTGTGACATATGAGTCTTGAAACATGAAGAGAAAGTTACCTAATTGGCAAGGTCTTTCCACATAGGAAGAGGCATAGTTAATGGCTTGGCAGAGAGATGGACTTAAAACAAAAGAGTTTGAAGGAAGGTTGATTAGTACTTATAATAGTCTTGCAAGGGTGAAGATGTATACTCAGGCTAGGAAAATGATGAAGAGGTTTTTAGAGGGTCAGACACCCAATATCAATTTAGACAAATTGAAGAGTGCAGGCAGGGAGAAGCAGGTTGATAAAACAGGGAAGTTACAGCAACTGATCTGAAAATGAGCTAACATTGAAGTCAGTGATAAAATACTTGTTTTTAGAGATAAAAAGAGGAAAAAGCAACAGATGTGTGGGCTAGATACAGTAAAAGACTTAAGCAGCAACAGTTCAACTACTATGACATGTAACAGTTAGGTGCCCAATTTCACTTTCCCTGGAGTGAAATTGAAAACTGGGATCTGAACACCTGTGCTCAGAGTACAGTTCCTGAGGAGAGTTAAGTGCTTTGAGAAGGCAATCCAAATGTTTTTGTGTTGATCAAGGAGTGTTGTCTAATTAGTCACCAAGAAATACAAGGATATGCCTGAGCTCTACTCCTGTTTTCACAAAATGCCTAATTCTGTGACAGCTGCTCATAGTGAGTGCCTAAGAGTGAAGCTTCAGTCAGTCTCACGCTTCTGGTTTTTTGCACCAAGAAGTCTCCATGTACTTTAGTCCTTGAGTCACTTGTAGGCAAGTGCATCCTTTCTTCTGGAGTCTGGAATCCATTCCTGAGGGCAGGCAGCTGCAACTCTTCTGTAAAGGAACTGTGTGAGGCATTCACTGGCTGTATTTCTGTGGTTCTCCTTTTGTAGCCACCTTTGGTTTAGTACACTAATGGCTAGACACTTGTCCAGCAAATGGGAGGCTTGGGATCTAGATATTCTTCAGCCTGGGATAGTACAAACCAGCATCCCAGTTTTGAGGACAGTGTCTTAAACATCAGTCTGGAGGCTGGAAACACATGGGATCATAACTTACCTATTCTTTAATACTGATTCACTTAAGCTGTGCAAGAAATGCAAAGTTCTTGGTGGTAAGAAGCAAGAAAATGCAACTGAATTCAGTTGTAGCCTATTTCACTTGATTGAGAGAGGCTCAGTCCTGTCCATACTTACCAGAGAGACCCATGCTGAAAAATTAGGCACTGCACTATCTACTTATTGTACATGTGTTTGGCTGTTGGACAAAATATAACAGCTAATGTCTTTAAAATTTTCAAGCTGAGCAGTAAAGTTGCTTATTGAATGTCATGACCTTGGGAAACTGTTATGCATAAATTCAAAACTACCTCTTTTCACCTCTTCTTGAGTCCACACATTCATTTCTACATACAGCTTTTTTTTTTTTTTTTTTTTTTTAAAGAAAGATATATTAAAAAAAGGGAAACACAGGAAATTCAAGGTAGTGTCACTGAGGGAAACTGTATTGTAGTTATGGACTGATATGCACAGAAGTGAAGAACAGTAGAGTGATCAAAACCAAATTTGAACATTGAATTGCAACTGTCTGGAAATCCAAGAAGATTAATTAGAGACATTTTTAAGACATGATGCTCAAAAGTTTAAATAATAAATACAAAATAATGCTATTCATGAAAATGTTTTCTTATTGCTCTTCTATGTCAAAGAATTAATAAAATAAAAGAAGTATTGGTATTACCTCTTCTAAATTACTATGTTGAAAATCAGAATACATGCAAAGCGACTAGCACTCATTTCTGATCCATCATGAGAGCTTCCCACACGTGAATTTAGAGACCTAATCCAGCTGCTCTGACTCCTGAGTAATCCCATTTGTTCAGAAGTAAAGCTAGATGTAAGGAAAATAGGATTTGGCATTTAGTCTTTCTCTTTTTGTGCCTTTTTTTATATATTCAGTTGGAAATGTTTTATTAGTGATGAAATAAATAATATACTTTAAAAATACTTGTTTAAGTTCTATGAAACTAAGATAAAACTGTAAATTCCCCAAATGAATATAATTAAGTGTTCATACTACATTACATTATTTGTAAAAATGAATGTATTTTATAATAGAAGCACAGCCCATTTCAAATCTGAAACCCCACAAATATGTCAGTGCATTGTTAATAACTCTAGTCAACATTACAGAAGTTCTCCAAGCAACCAGTCCTCCTCCAGTGACCCAGGACCCAGTGGGAGCAGCCAGTGGAGACAGCAAGTGGGATATAACGGGTACTGGGGATTTTTTTTTAATTTTTTTTTTTTTTTTAAAATCTTGCTGTAGTTCCCATGCATCTTATTTCTGAAGCAAAATCTATGTGCATGTTCTATATCATAGATTTATTTGCAAAATCTGTTAGTGTATTTTAAGATGTACAGGTTTACTGATCTTTAATGTCACATGTATGCTAATACAATTTTAAAGCCGTACGGCTTTAACTCTTTAGGGCCAAATTTTTATTTTACAATTCGGATAAATAACAAACAGTCCTTAGGTTTGTTTTCCCAGAAACAGGCCAGAAAACAGCTAGTAACTCAGAACTGGAATAAAATAATAATTTCTCCTCCTTTTACTTCAGTGGAAGGGTATTTGATTAAAAAATTATTTTTATGGTATTCAGAGGTTTTATTTCCTACTGTGCTTGTTCCTGTGGCATCCATTCCCTAGCATCTCTCCTCAAAAAAGCAGCACTCAGAAGTCTCTTCTCCCTAAAAGGCTGTTGCAGTATGTAGATGGTTCTTTCACATGTCTATTAATCCCTTGGTGCTGAAGTTTCAGAAGTTAACTATCTGTGTTTAAAAGACCACCCCAATATACTGTCCATGTTACAAGAATATGTTCTAAATTACTTGAAATTTATCACTTTGTTGTATAAATATAGCTGCCGAAAACACTCCTGTTATAAAATGTTGAGCTATGGCAGTATCTATGTGGCATGATATAGAGGCATTCCAGACTTGCCACTTGGCTTTCAGAAGTTACTTTTCAGAAAAAATGTGAATATTGAAAACATCAGCTTGACTCCTTGTCTGTAAGCTTAATGTTGCTTTGGCATCACTGTTTGTGGATAAGATACTCCACGTAGCAAATATATATGCAATATCTTGGAGACTCCTCAAGGAATTTCAGAATACTTAATGAACTCTCTAGCAGCTAAATAGATGCTAATAACTCAAATAAAACTATAGCAATTTTTTTGACAGTAAACACATGAAAATGCATCTTGTGTCATTTTTCTAGGACAGTTATTTCTAATAGCAGCCTTGGTTTTATTGTGTTTCTTTGTGAAATAATTTAACTTCTGCAATACAATACAAAGCAATGGACTTGGTACTAGCTTATGTGTTCTGAGTGTGAAAACCTGCAAAACTACAGAGTTACTTTCTGTGGGACTTGGTTCATAAAGAGGCTAAACATACATTACCATAGCTATCCATTGCAAAAACTTTTGGATATATAGCTCCAAGAATGCATTTCTTCTTAAAGTTCAGTGTCTTCTTGACCTTTCACACTTAAGATATAAGTGCTGTTGAAAAGATTTCATGTAAATATTTCCATGCAGTGTTTCCAAATGTTAGTGTACTTGCTTGGTGAGGGGAATGATGATTGTTTAAACAACTCATGTACAAAATATTTGAAGGGTAAAAAGTATTGTTGTTCATCATGTAACTAGTTTTCTAGGAAAAAAACCCAAACAGCTTAATTTTCTGCTTACGTTAAAAGGTGCCAGTCCCCTTTGCTCCATGAACACCACCAAGGTTCAGGCTCACTGGAGTGTGAAGGAGGCAGAGAACGAGAGGAAGCTTTGGAAGGAACTAGACATTCTGGTAATAAAAAACACTGTATCTTAAATATAAATGTTCTTTGCAATGCAGTGCCTGTTGAAGTGCAGCCACCTTCTGATGCAGAGGTTTGAAACCTCATGCTAAGCCATGTGCCTTTTTTCTTTGTACAGTATACTCATCTTTTTAGCATTCAGAAATTAAAACACAATTATTTCTGACAGAAACCAAGTGGCATGCACCATCGACCAAAGTCCTGAGCTCCTACAAAGACCGGGCTTTACAGAAAGAAGGCAGTGGCAAGGAGTCGCCAAACAAACTTTCACATGTAAGTCTCTTACTTGGATGTCATTCAAAACTCTAAAAAACAAACAAAAAAACAAAACCCCAAAGAAACCCCATGCTGGACTTAAAGAAATATATCTTAAAAATACATTTTAGTAATTTATGAAGACCACTGTGTGTTTTGGGAGGCAAAGAGTATGCTCACCTAGATGTGGGGTGAATTGAGTATGCTTAATTTGTGTTTATAAACTAAGAACTCCAAGAGGGCATGGGTCTGGGGTATTGAGGAGGTAAAACTAGTATAGTCTACACTCAACTGTGTATTTACAGCTTCATTTATACTGGCTTGCCTAATATGTGAAGTATTTCATATCCTTTTGTCCTGGTTTTGGCTGGGATAGAATTAATTTTCTTCCTAGTAGCTGGTATAGTGCTGTGTTTTGGACTGAGTATGAGAACAATGTTGATAACACACTGATGCTTTAGTTGTTGCTAGGTACTGCTTACACTAGTCAAGGACTGTTTCAGCTTCCCATGCTCTGCCAGGTGCACAAGAAACTGGGAAGGGGCACAGCCAGGACAGCTGACCCAAACTGACCAAAGGGCTGTTCCATACCATATGATGTCATGCTCAGTATATAAACTGGGGGGAGCTGGCCAGGGGGCAGTGATTTCATAATGGGCTTATGTTTGTGTTTGCCTGTGTATGTATATGTGTAGTGCAGGTGCAAAAGAACTGTATTGTACAAAGTAAGAACTGGTATTATTATAAAGATAATACCAATAAAATGAGGCTATTCTGTTGTTAGCTGCTTTAAAACAGAAAAAAATTATCATCACCTTGTAAAGGACCTTTTAATGTTCTCTTGTGCATCCCCTTTTTGTTCACCTCAATTTGCCATATGACTCTCTGCCAGCCAGTGAAATTCACGGAGGGCTACAGCAAACGTACAAGAACTCTGTCAAATATTTAACTGTTAGGAAAAAACCATCTATGTTGTCTTTTTATCCGTTTTAACTTGGGGGAAGGAGGGTGGGGGAATTTCACTGGCTGTCTTCAAGCTCTCTTTGTTATCCTGAATAAATATCATATACCTGCTGATTTTTTTTTTTTTTTTTTTTTTAAATCTTGCTCCATGACACAATCTTTAACAACATGTAACAATTAGGGCCATGCTGAGCTTTCATACAATAATTTCTCTTTGCACAAGGAAGTGCACACAATGATCTTAAGCTATGGCCATAATGAACTTTGAGCACTTCAGGATATCTGTATCAATAGCTGTTGTCCAGATTCTCTGCTTCTTGCAGGGTCAAGAAAAGGTGCCTAAGCATGTGTGTTCAGCAACATACAGGAAATTTTTGGGAAGGTTCATACATGCAATACTTCTTCTGAGGTTCATTTTATGCCTTTGAGCTTCCTCCCTGCCCTTCCTTGTTTCTTTCCACTTTGGTTCCATTTTACATTTACAGTAAGAAGTGACATGCCTTTTCTCTAGACACCTTTCTCCAAGTCCCTCTCCTTGGAAAAACTGCTCATTGTATTTTTATCAATTGTTCCATTGTTTTTAAAGTGACAGCCATCTTGTAAAGGTTAGAATAAATGCAAATGTGACCCCTCCTTTTTTTCTAAAATAACTCTTCTTCAAATTTTGAGACCTGTTAATTTCCATATGGAATAGAAGTATCATTTCTGGAAAGGCTGCCTTGTCTAACTGCTTTAATGTGTGAGCAACAACAATGTTTATATGCATCTGCTAGGAGGGGGATCTCATAAAAAAGTTAGTCACACTTCCCACTGACATTCTACCTAAAAGAAGTCCATCTGCCCTAATAGAATTCCATCTGCCCTTATTCTGGCTACTCTGTCACATAGATAAGTTAATCCAACTCTCTATAAAATCTCTTTTCAAAAAAACCAAGAAAAAACACCAACTTTATTGACACAAATGCCTGACATAATTATTCCACTTCAATAGCCATGCTTAGCTTAGGGCCCTGTGACTTCAGTTACTTTCATCTGGTACACACACATCGCAATTGGCTTCAATTTAACTAGCCACACATCCAATTGGATTTGATCCAATAAGCTGCATATTTCACCCACACTGAGAAAAAGCCAAGGATAATTCAGTCTTTGGTGTTTTTCAGACTTGCAGTAGAACTTGTTTAAACAAATAATTACCAATGCATCTAGCTTTAACAGATGCTTAACTGTTCAGAAATGCAATTTTATGGATGTTAAGCAGGTTCTATAATCAGAAAAATTCAAGTGTGATCTTAAGATTTGCCATAGAAGATGGAACTAGAGCCTTTTTATTTGGAGTGACATCAACCTTTAATGTATCTAGCCAGCTGTGCAATTCATTTCATAAAAACTGGTGGTATAATTAGCTCTTTTCATACTTTGCAGTTATAGCATACTGTAAAAAATAATAAAATGCTCTTTGAATGGCACAAATTCAGTAATTTCTAGGAAAACAAATATTTTACTATTTAACTTGGGGGGGGGTGTCTTTTTTTGTTTGTTTTCTTGTTGTTAAGATCGGAGACAAAAGCTGTTCAAGCCACTCAAGCAGCAACACCCTTTCCAGTAATACATCCAGCAACAGCGATGAAAAACACTTTGGTTCTGGAGATCTGATGGATCCTGAGCTGCTTGGATTAACATATATAAAGGGGGCTTCTACTGACAGTGGAATTGATACGGCTCCCTGCATGCCTGCTCCTCTTCTGGCCCCTTTGCACCTTGCTGGCAGCAGGTCTGGAGTACATTGTCGTACTGAGCAGTGGACCGAGTCTTCTGAAACTCCTGGGCCAGATGATGATCCAGCTAAAATCTATGCTGTTCATAGCTATGCTTCTGCTATTTCTACCAGTCATACAGCTGAAGGCAGTATGGGAGACCTAAGTGAAATCTCCTCTCATTCCAGGTATGTGTTTCTTACAAATTAAGGATTATGGATTACAGATTAACATACAGAGAACTCTTTTTCATTGTTGCTATTCTGGTTACCTTTCTTTGAAAGTGCACTTAACTGATTCTGATTTTTTTTTGTTGTTGTATTTAAATGCCTACATGAGCAATTTTCAGTCAATTTTTAATGAGTCTGCCTAAAAAGCATAGCTAGTCCTACTCCCAGATCTGATGGAGATTTTTTATGTGACCTTGTGCACATTGCTCAGGTTTTTAAAGTTGGGAAACATCCCTGTTTAAAAGTGAACTTTGCACCTAACTTATTTCACGTACTTTTTTTTAGTACAGTGCAACAAAATACCTGGGAGTTGAGGGAGATCAGAGAGATTGCAATGGACAATTTTTACATATAGTGACAGACAACTTTTACATATAGTGAAACTGCGCTGCATACCATCCCCCCTAATTTACATTTTTGTGATGTATGCTTTACAATTTTGTTTGAACTGAATTTCTGATTATTTTCAGCTCTTCTTTTTGTTACCAATGGAATGCATGAGTGGTACGCCTGTTGTAAAGCAAACTTTGAAAGTACACTTTTACAGCTGGTTGCCTTTATCTCCCAATTCCCGTTTTATGGTGACTTTGAAGTTGAAGCTTTGGTCTATGTGTTAAGGTTTTTACTCTGTAAAGGATAGAAGGAAATTGTTTGTTCTGCTTTCCCTCTGATTTTTCTGTTTTCAATGTCAATCAGTACAGGAAAATAACCAAATAATATCCTGTATCCTCATTTCTTTATATGCTTGACATGAGTGAATTAGTCTTGTATACTTACTCTGACTTCTAGATTTCTTTTCCACAAGCTATAGAAGATAGTATAGACTATTGTATAGACTGTTGTGAAAACTAGGTAAATGCTTTCACATTAAGCTTTCACTACCCTTGTGATAATGTAGAAGCTCCATTTTTACTCTGCTTTATGTGTATTGAGATCTAATTTTATATATTAAGACTTCTAAAGTGCTAGAAATAAGCTCTATGCTTCTAGGACTTCATCATTATGAGCTGAAATAGATTTCTAATGGCTAGAATATGTATTCTCAGCACTTGTGTGGCAGCTGTCATATTTAAAGTGCCAGGCAGCCATTAAGTAATATGCTGCTCACTTCTATGGAATAAACATTTTATGGATTAATTAAAAATTAAAAAAAAAAAGAAAGTAAGCATATAGATTTTAAGTTATTTACCCAGGCATTTCCAAAGTAGTAATTATTGTTGAGATATGACTACTTATGTTAGGATTGCCCAGTTCCACTTTGGCAATAGCAATGTTTTCAAATGATCACCTTCTAATTGTGTGCCAAATCCTTTTGCTATAGAAAAATGTCAGACTTATGTTATGTGACCCAACTGTTTTATTTAAACTTTGCTTAAATGCCCTTCAAATTATGTTGGAATGATAAATAATTTTGCAGTTGGGTTTAAGCTGGCACCACCTATACAGCACCCACAGGCATACATTATTAAAAAATATCTCATTTTATAGCTGTGATGCTGCAACACTGATGTGTTCAAATAGACATAAGAAAGTTGAGTTAATGTATAGGCATGTCATATCTACTGCTGAATCCTATGTCTGTTTTCCAACTGGTTAGACACTGAATTTGTATTTCTTCATAATCTGTAACAATGAAATACTAACACTATTGAGGCATTCATTCACAATTATTTTATGAATGTTAAATAGTAAACTTGTTCTGCAGTAGCTAAACAGTGTAAAACTTGAGGAAACAAGCCCACAGACTGGTGGAAAGTCATTAATCTATAAATGCAACATTTCTTTATTAAAATTGTGTTCTGTTTACTGAATAGATAAAGTGCAATGCACAGGAAAGATGTTGGATGGTTGAAAGATACTGGCTTGATTCTCTAACATCATCAGATAAAGAACCACCTGAAAAAAAACTAATACTCTAGTGCCCGAGTAAGATTTACAGAATTAAACTTGCTATGTGAAACAGTATCTCAAACTACAAACTGACTTGAGCTGTGCACAACATTGTCTCACAGCTCTGTTATTAACGGTTTTCTCTCTCCTATTTTATATTAACTATGCACATGAATTATCAAATACCTTCATGTTATGTAGCTGAAACAGCTTATCTTCATTGCCTTTAGTATTTCTTTGTTTCTTACATAGACCATCTTTTGGATCCTAAAAATATATACTGCTTGTTCCAACTGTGGCATTGAACTCATTATCTAAACCCAGGCTTTTATAGGCATTTTATTTCTTTACTTCAAAAAATATTCCTGTATTTAAAACCTACAGAATGAGTTTGGATGCCCAATTTTTCTTGAATTTAGTTACAAACAGAAGTCTAAAATCCTCTGTATAATGTCCTTGCTGTTGATCTGACATGTATTTTACATTGTGCTTCAATGTTTGCTTCATCTTTAGATTTCAATTTTTCATAACTGAATTATTTTCTTCACCACATCTTTACATCATTTCTTTGCATTTTTGCAAGGTTAGCAAGCAAAAAAAGCTTTTAACATCACCTGCATTATTTTCTTCCCCCAAAACCTCATAATTTTGTTTCTACTTTTTGGGGAGGAAGAGGGATGAGAGGAGAGAAAATAATTTTTTTTTAAGATTAAATACACATACTAACTGTGATCAAAATTATTAATCCATTGCCTTAATGATTCAACTTTCTTCCACAGTAGGCATTTGAATTTGATCTAATGACATCTATGTATGTGCATTGCTTGTGTTTGACTCTGCATGGACAGCAAAGTAGACATGTCTGTTACACTTTCAGCAACACCTTCTGTTCCTCTCTGAATTAATCCAGTGCTCTTGGGATTAGATTAAAAGATAGCACTGTGTTTGGTATTCGTAAACCAACAATGAAAGTTAGGAGCTGCTGCTTCAGGTTCCAGCCTCTGATTTTAGACAAGGCACTTGGTTTATGAATGCTTCAGTTACTCCACCTGCAAGATGAAAAGGAGAAATTCATTTTTCAAGGAAGTGTTTGCTTTAGTTCATTTTAAATCGTTTTGAGCGTCTTCAGTAAAAGGTTTCATTAGTCCCTACTAGTGCTATTATTCATAATAAAAGAGGCTATTAAAATTATCCAGAGGACTGTTTTTGTTGAACTGAAATTTACTTCTGTTAATATTAAATTCTCAATGGTGCTGAATGAAAGACACAGTTTAAACTGGCAGGAACTGGCAAAATTAACATGAAGTGGAAAGGTACAGAAGTTTTATAATTAGAGAGATATTTGGGGTAATTCCCTATGCAGTTCTTGATGTAAATGGAATTATACTGTTAATAATGTGTGTGTACATCTTTTAATTTTAATTCATACCAGTTTGCATTGGCGTTTCAGCAAGTCGAATTACATACATGTTTTAGAAACTCACCACAATTCTGTTCTCAAAGAGCTTTAATGTATACACTGCTGGTATGTAGAAAATTACTGTAGCGATACTGCTACCTTGATTTTAACCTTGAGGAAAAACTTAACATTAAGAATTAGAGCTGCATACCAGGCGAAGTGTTTCTGATTTGTTGTTGTACAGGAGATTTCATTCTTGCATTTGTGTGTTTACTTTTTCAGTGGGTCACATCATTCAGGAAGCCCATCAACACATTGCTCTAAGAAGAGTGGCTCCCTAGATACCTCCAAAGTCTATATAGTGTCACAGAATAGTGGTCAACAGATTTCTGGGTCAGTTTCAAAACCATACCACAGGCAAGGAGCAGTGAGTAAATACGTCATTGGATGGAAAAAATCAGAAGAAAGTCCTACACCTGAAGAATCTGAAGTTTCTGAATGCCATGAGTAAGAAATCTGTTTAACTTTCTTGGGGGAAGAGGGGTAATGAAAATAAATTCTAAAATGGGATAGAAAGATGAAAAACTACAAATTCAATTTTGCTTTTAAATGTTTGGGTGTTTTTCTGTACCTCTAGGTATCAGAGGTGCATCCAAAAAGAGAAAAAAAGATAGTAACTGCAGGATACTGTTTTCTCTGGTTTACTGTTCTATCCAGCTGCATGTTTTTCCCATGTGTCCAATAAAGCAAGCTGACAGAATTTCTGAAAGTGTGTGTAGGCAAAAATGTATGGCTCTGCCAGACATTCTGAATTTCCATTTTGAAACTCTAGGAAACTATTGGGAAGGTACAATTTTATTAAGGTCTTAAAGACCTTTCCTAGAAATCTCCAGGTTAGTTGTAAAAAGCTTACTTCCTGACATTTCTGTATTAAACCTTACTACCTTGTTGCCTATTACATCAACTAATACATTGCAGATGAGAGACATGACCATAAACTTATCAGTGATCTATAGCAGATAATTTTAAAAAAATAGTGCCACTTGGGGGTATTTTAGTGGTTCTTTGGTATCTTTTTCTGACTTTGTTTTTAATGAACAGGTACGAACTGGTGGTTAGGACCCCACAAGAAAAAGATTAAGTGTGGATTTATCTGACCATCTTCACAAGACTTCAAAATGTGCAGGCTTCAATAAAACTGCATATTTTTCCAGCAAGTGACATTTAGATGAAAATACCTATATGTACAGCTTAACACAGGAATAGCTCATGAGAAATGTGGTGGTCTTAGGTGGAAGAAAAAGGCTTACATTCAAAGGAAAAGATACAGTATCTCAAATACAGATAGAGATGATACTTTCCCACTGCTGCAGCAGTAACAAGTAATGTTTGAATCTGCTGTTTTAAAACTAACCTTTAAATTCCTGTTATCTTCAAAATCATCTTCTCAGATAACCTCCTTGCTTTCTTTTTGTGCATTAGCTATTCAGTTCTACCTCTCAGTAAATCATAGTCAGCCCTATATATCTTGATAAATTGACAAGATGACATGCAGTACCTGGTTTTCAAATGTTTAATATGGGATTACTCTTTGTTTAATGGGAATGGGTTACTTGCATCTAATATCTCATATTGCATATATGTGCATATTTATGGCACGATTAATATTTTAAAATATAAGCTAGAATATATGCGCTGTGAAATATGAGCATGAAGTTAAGCTTTTAAATTCCTAATTTTCAAAAGTAGATGATGTTACTACCTTCCTATCCTGGTTATTTGTGTTTCTTTGTGTTATTGAACTGGTGATTTCAGATTTTTCTCCCCCAATGTTTTAATTGCTTAAATTGTTCAGTTGCAGTAGTATTTGCACTTAAAAAGTGGTTACTTCATAGATTCCCACAAGTTTTTACATTTTGAAGTTGATGAACTCCTGAAGCAATTTCTCTTTATTTTGAATGGAACCCTAAAACCAAAATTGCATAATGAATCATGGTATTTAGACTGAAACCACAGCAATTTAGAAAAGTATGTTCAAGAGCTAGTTCTATTTAAGAAATATTAATTGAATATGGCAGCACTTCATATATCAGAAAATATTTTCAGATTTTTCCATGGTGTACAGCATTGCTTCACCTCTTTCTTTCTAGGAAAGCTTTCTATACATCACAGAGAGGAAATATCTCTCTAAGGATAATTATGTTGAAATAAAATAACATCTCTACTTAGCAATGATGATGAAAATCAGGTCAATTGCTGAATGTTATGCCACTATAGGATGTAATTCACTGAGAATTACACTTTACCGTAGCAAAGCTTGTTTCCTCTCTGCTGAAGACAGAGTCACTGATTATACTGCACTTGGCAGTAAGTAATGGCTTCAAATGTACGTTCTGTGTGATTGGGAATCTCTAGTTCCTCCAATTGCATTTCCAGAATAAAAATTCTGTTAAAATTCTCTCTCTCTCTCACTGAAAGATAATAATTCAGTTTGACAGTCTTTTGTTGACTGTAAATACATTTTTATATACTGATAATTGACAGCTGTTTTATTTGTCTAATGATCTTTATGAAATTCATGATAGTAAAACACGCTTGGCACGTGGAACAATCGATTACCAGTACCCTTCAAACATTGCCATTGATGACCACAGTAATTGTGCCAGATTGTGAAGCTGGATACAATATCACACTATAAAATATTTATTTTCTTATTTGCTAAGGAAGTAAAAGTTAAAATATTTCATGATGAACTATTGGAAATGTTGATATAAATACAGCTTTAAAACAGGGAAGTGTGGTGTGTAAAAAGAGAGAGGCAAGCTAGGAGAAACAAGCATTATGGTTTTTAAATTGTTCTTTAGAATTCCTAAAACTGATTTTTCAGTGGTTTAAGAATTTAATTTTGGACCCACAAACAGTTTCATAAATATAAAATCATTGAAAATATGTTCTAAATAAAAGTATGCTGTGGTAGGAGATAATTCTAAAAATTTTTATTTTGTGACAGAAAATAAATGCAGTCTTTCAAATCCAAGAGCGCTATTGCTTCTCTTGCTAAAAACACCATTTGTCTCAACAGAGTGTATGACGATATTGATGCTGTGTCTGCATCAAGTCCACTCCAAACTTCTGTGAGGAATGCCATTGTTGAAAGCCAGCAGGTCTTGTCCAAAGAAGATTTTCTGAAGTTGATGCTGCCAGACAGCCTCTGTATGGAGGAGGGGAGAAGAAAGGTTAGCTACTTTCTTCAGCTCTGTGTATCTCAGAGACAGTTACCTTAGAAATGAATTTCTGGTATTCCCAAAATTGCTATAGAGAAGTCAATATCGTTTTGTACAAGCTAAGTATATTCCATGGGAATCCTGTAAATACTGACCATAAGTCCCAAAATATCATTTCCCACAGTATGAAAATGATATCTAATTTGATGATTATGTATGAAACTCAGTATTTGTTTAAGTATGTCTTTGCTTAACTTGAGCAGAGACAGGTGCAGGTTGAGCAACTTAATTAAAATTTCAAACATAAAAAGTAACATTTTCAAGGTTGGATGCCTAAATTTATACACCTCATATGATATCAAGGCACATGAATAAAAGTAGCCCACTTTCCCCTGCCCTGTGATACTCGGCACCAACATTCTGGTTGAAGTCTGAATCACAATTTCGTGTAGGTATTAGTGGCAACTGCTGAAAAGGCATAATTGTCAGTGCTAGTGGAGAGCATACATCTAATCTTTATAGTATGAAGACATTTGGTAATATTTAAAAGTTCACAAAAAGCAGATAGAGAACTTAAAATTTACTACTCCCCAAAGTATACATGATTCTGAATTCTGTGCTTAATGTGGAATAAAGCACAAAGCAATTACTTGAGATAATTGTAACACTTTGATATTAACTCAATGCTCTCTTAACCCACTGTGTTTATACAATGTGCTAAATAGCGTAATCATCATGTCTGAACAAAAGTAACACGTGGGAATCCTCTAAGTGCAGAGTTGAATTTAAAATTCAGATCATACATATTTTTTAATGTGCAGTACATTAAGTATGCATTGTATGTGTTTGAATTCTCATGAATAATGTCCTAGAGGTTTTTATGACTTATGATTGATACAATAATTGGTTTTCTGTGATGATTTCAAGAGCTGCCAATGTTTCTGGCTACCTAAATGAGAAACAACAAGGAATGAGGAGGTGTGGCCATCCTGAGATAAATTACTGCTGTCCCCTTCCCCTCCCAAGACACCCAAACAAAAGCTCGCTAAGTGAGAGAGACTGTAGACCCAGACTCGCAGGGGACCCCCAGCCGTAGGAATTGGCAGTATCCAGTCTTTGTGATTATGCCTTCGTAGAGGGTAGTAATCTTGGTATAGGTGAGTCCAGTTGTCTTTGTGTGTCTTTCAGTTTCAGCAAAGCCAGAAAGCAGTTTTCTGAATATGTAAGATTCTACAGAATCAAATCACATTTTTGGTTTGGCTTGGGCTTACCTTCTTTGTAGATCAGGGACTAATGAGCCCTCCAGGTAATGTTTAATTTTTGACGCACCCTGAAAGGGAAGTCTGTAAAGCTCCCACAGTTAACATTTAACATGTTTGGATAGCTAATGAACAACCTTTATAGATAGAAGATGCAGTATAAGGTTGAGGAGACTTGAGTAACAGCCAAGAATTGCAGCAGGATGCTTGCTAGGAATCTTGAGTGCAGGAAAGAGGATCAGACACCCTTCAATTCAGAGGGTGGAGCCTTTAAACCTTTGCCCAATGTGGTCCCTAACTATGCTCAGGGTCTTTTGATATTCCTTAACCACTGCTTATAGAAGGATACCACGTATCCATTCATTTAAGGATACTGTGCATGTCCTTTATCCATTCATTTAGGGAAGCTACTTAGGTCTCTTGTTGGAATCATTTCATGTATGTGTTAAAATAAAATTTTGGATGATGTTTATTCCCATGGCCCATATCTGTTTCAGGCAAATCTCTAGAACCAATGTAGTATTTTGATGCTTTCCTAGATAAGAATCTGAATATCTCCCTCAATTTTCTCTGGGACACAGTTAAACATACTAACAACTGAGCATGTTCTGTATTGTCATCAAGATAGATGCTTTCCAGAACGTGAGCTATGAAGTGTATTTAAGTATTTTGTAAAGACTGTGTCTTGTGGCATATTGAGTGTTTCTGTGTTTTCTTTTTAGAAGTATTCATCCATGAGCAAGTTTTGTCAGAAATATAACGATGTAGATATCTTTAATTCTACGCTATATTCACTGTTTTAAAAAGCTACTGCTCTTAAGCATACATTCTGCATAGGGAGTGTGCAACTCATAATTAATTACAAAGAAAACAGGACAGGACATTAAATTGTTATATGCAGGACAAATCAGTTAAAATAATTAAGGCAATAACTGACATTTGTAGATGTGAAGAATAACTGGATTTGCAGTGCTGAACAATGACTTATGAAGTGGAATGGCCTGGTTTTACAATGCAGTAACATCTTGTTTTACTGTAGATATTTGGGTTGTGGTTTAAGTAACTTTTTGAAATGCATAAACAGTTTTCACTGAACTCTATTATCCTCTTTTGTAAGCCTATTTTGTGATATCTGAAGAGATGCGGTGTCTCAAGTCACTTTTATCATCCAATGAATTATATTGCACCATATATCAGTTCAGAATGTTTAACATTAAAGCACAGTCATTTCCAATTAAAATCAAGCAGTTCTATGTATAGTCTTGAATAAAAGTTGCCAGAGTTGGTAACCTTATATATATTTCTGGAAAATATTGCTGTCGTACGGCTATGGAGGTTTCATTTAACATTTCAGAATTAATGAAACTATACAGTATCTGATAAATTCATGGTGCTATGTTCCAAAATATCAAGAGAAAGTATGAAAATCCAGTTCAGTAACTCTTTTGAGGCCCCAGTACATCTGATATAGTGGAACAACTCTCTGATCTTCTGTATTAGCTCGAGAATTCCAGAGTGCCTGCCCAGAAAAATACTCCCAATCACTGATGATGGGATATGATCGTGTGAATTATTTTAACCAGTAATACATGTTCTTATATCTTCCCATTTTGATGTTTAGTTTTCATTTTATGGAAACCTTTCTCCACGGAGGACACTTTACCGCACCCTATCTGATGAGAGTATATGTAGCAATCGAAGAGGATCTTCATATGCTAGCTCTCGAAGTTCAATGCTAGATCAGGCCTTGCCAAATGATATCTTATTCAGCACTACTCCACCATATCACAGCACGTTGCCTCCGAGAATGAGCCTGACTCCTGGAATGGGAAATCTGAGAAGTAAGTGATTGTTGCTGTCGTTGCTGAGTTTGGAATACTTGTAATAAACTCAAACAAATCACCAAATACTAAGTTAGATTTTACTTTTAAGGTAAAATTATGAAACGTCAAATCAGTGTTCTAGACATCCTAGTAAAAGCATATTTGGTCAGCAGTACATGCTTATGCTTGCCTTAGCGTTCAATTCATATTTACTATGTTTGGAGATAACATTCACTTTACTTTCCAGAAAATTTTCAAAAGACCAGTGATGGGCAACAAATGTTTGAAGATATTTCTTGTTATCATTTTATTTTGCAGTGATGACATAACTAAGCCAAGCTGGCCTGTGTTATTTTAATATTTGTTCATTTTTTGTGTGCATTCAAATTACTGAAATATTCATGAATATATTCAAAATAATAACTAAACAGGGCAGTTTCTATTTAGATGATCCTTTTGGTAGCATCTTAAAAGGAAATGTGCAGTAGTTGTTGTCATCATCTCCAATTTCAAAGCTGAATTTGCTGATACTTTTTTTAACATGTTAGTAAAAATTTGCAAATAGCATTTCATTTTTAATGCAGAAGATTAGTCTGGGGTGCTAAGTTAAAACGATTTTATGAAGGGGTCTCTGTTTATGAGGTCTTCATAAGCAAGATCTTTATTAGATGCTTATCTTGCCATAATTACAATATGGAGTGATGAACTATAAAGTTTGTAGTAATTTTGTGGAAAAAATTGAATGAAAATTATGAAAATTAAAAAAAAAAAAGAAATTTTGAAAATATATATGCTTGTATACCACAGCCCAAACCTACACAGCCAGATACATATATTTAGGCTACATATCCATATTTATATATTTAATAAGTTAATTGTTTTTTAAAAATGCTAAATATCTTCACTTTTTTATTATTTTAGGCTGACCTATAGGGGGACACCCAATCTAGAAAAAAAACAAAGGCACTTTTAGTCACTACTTTAATATTGCATCACAGCTGACCCCAATTTAAAAAAAATAGTAGAGCAATTGTGGACTCTGAAGTCCATAGTTAAGCTATGGGTGGATTTCTTGAAAGCATTAAGGACTTTTGTAGGCACATGTCCAGAGAGAATGGAGACAGATGACGTAAAAGAAATAGTAATAAAAAGGGCTCCATTCATCATGTCCTTCAGGAACTAGCAGTCACTTGCTAACTTTCAGAAGAAAGCCTTATATGCAATACACTTTTCTAGTTATAGTGGCCTCAGCTGTGAGGCTGAGTTTCAGTCACTAACCACTGGTTAATTTTAAACTGGTATCACAAACAAGTGCTAAATTCCTGCTTCAGATGGGAATGCATGCTTGGTGTACCTTTTGCCATTCTAAAAATATTCTATCAGAGTGAAACTCTTTACTATGAATTTAATATGAAAAGATCCTTTGCTTTTACTGATAGAGAACCAAGACCCATTTTGCTTCATTTGAGACTAATTCAGTAGATTTTATAGTCTATGAAGGAGCTATGTATATAATCAGGCATCCTGATTGTATTTTTTTCTTTTACCATGTTAGGCCTGTGTTTTTAGAGCCATTTCTTGTAAAGGTAAATGTGCAATGGGATCAAACCTTCAGCGTGCTTTTTTTCTGGAGATTGACACAAGGCAATTAATGGTGTATACTCAAGCTGTGTACTGCTCCTCCAGCAGTGAAATTCTAGTGTTTTGTGTATTAGTTCTGTCTTAAACACCTTATTTTCCATTATTGCTGCTTCTTAGATACAGTTATTTATACACGTAGCTGGGAAAAAACATGAAACTAGTATCCTGTCAGTCAAAATGAAGCTGATTGTTGATATCCAAGGTAGTCCATGCTATTTTCATATACAAACTCTATTTTCTGCTTCTGGGTTTGTGTTATAAAAGTGCCTTTCAATGCCAGCAATATAGAATTTTTTTATGATGGCTGTTTCAAGGAAGATTTAATTGGTTATCTGTAATTACACTCTGAAAACAAACACATCATGACTTGCCAACATTTGTTTTCAAAGTAAGGTTAGTCAGTATCTCCATATAAGAAACTAACTTTGTCTTTTGTTAGGAAGGGTTTTGTAATCAGTGCATAGCAGGTATTTACATTTCTATAGCAGTGGTGATGTGAGAGGTTTCTTTTTCATTTATAATTTTAGCTTGAGGTTGTAGTTTCAGATATCAGGATTCTTAGCTGTCATACTAATGTCTTTTGTAAAATACATATGTTTGTGATCTTAAAACATTTTAATTTTACTGATATTTAATGTTTACAGAAATTAGTGGAAATAGTGTGGGTTTGGCTGGTATTCATTTTAGAAAGATGCATTCTTGCATGTTATTACCCAGCAAGTGGTACATGAAATCCTGTGGCAGCACCAAGTCTTGTGAGATCCCTCTAGCAAGGGAAAGTGTGATTAATAGGTAAGCAAGGCAGCACCAAACCCAAAGCATAATAGGCAACCTGAAGGGTTTCAGTTTACTGGGAAATCAGAATTATCAGACAGAACGACCATGCAAATATGGAAAGAGAAACTTCAACTGTGTGCGATGTTGACTGTGGGAAGGAGATGAGAAAGTGAAGCTGTAGGATTTTTTTGTTGTTTTATCACTGGGGGAAGTGAAGTGAAAGAAGAGTTGCTTTCAGTAAAGCCTGAAACGCAAGCTCTGACAGTTGAGTGCTGTTGATTGCACACAGTACACAAATGTAGAAAGATTTATTTCATTGTATCTTATTTTTAACTTAAACCAGAAAGCAGAACTCATATAGCTGAGAACTCTGTTATTTTACCTCAGGGACATTAAAGATTCCCTAACTGAGACAGTGCTGTTCATGTTGCGTGATTCTAGCATGCCATACATGGTTGCAGGTAGAAATCTATCCCTGTCTTGCAAATTTATGGCAGCTGAACTAGCAGGGAAAGAACAAAAAAAATGAGAACCACTGGTACAGAACTAGTGTACTAACAAAAGTTGGAAATGCAGAAAGACACATGGAGGTGGTTTGACATTGCAGGCACCATGGTCCACTCCTGTTATGAAATACAAAAAGAAAGGGGAAAGAAAAAAGCCCTAAGTGATACACTGGCATGACATTCCTGTGCTGTGAGGAAAGGAGCAAGGTGCAGGAGAAGAGGGTCATAAGGAAGGGAATATTTTGCGATGATATAACAAATTCTGAAAGTTCTCAGATTATACATGCCATAAGGAAAAGGCTGCCAGAAGTGCAGCTGATATTTCTGCAATGATGTTATTAAACGAAAGTCTATCTTAAAACTGGCAATGTTATTAGATGAAAATCTATCTTAAAACTGGCTTACTACCAGTGTTAGCTTCAATCCAAAACTACCCTCATTGATAAGAAGCGGTATTAAAATGGAAGAGCATCACTGTGTATTGATGATGTACAACATGAACAATTTGGAAATCAGTTTTTCAGTAACCAGATAAAGGCTGTTGATTAAATAATTCATACAACCAAAGGAGTATATATGTTATATATATATATATGTAACAGACTCTCACCCAGTGAATAATCCACCATACCAGAACATGAGACAATTTTCAGTAACAAAAGGGAAGGGAAGAGTAGTTACTGGAAGCACATGTCCACTATTCTAACAGTAATGTGAGCATATGTCCATGAGAAAGTCTACTAGCAGGCTGGCATCTTTGAAGGGAGACTTTGGGCAACCCTGGGTAACACTGAAGAAGGGAAGGGTTCGGCAGCCAGAAGCTGTTATTTAAGAGGACCATAAAGATATAATTGGTGATTGCAGGAAAGAACAGGACAATGGGATTTATGTCTGCATATGTCTTGATATGTTCCTTCAGCTGCAGCATCTTTTGAGATAATCTGCTTGTTAAATCTCATGTCTAGTGTGAGCACAGTAAGTGAGGAGTACTTAGCAGATATTTTTTCATGATCTACAGTCTCTACATGAAAGTAGCAGTTCCAGCTGAAGCAGGATACTTGTCTTGGAAGTAGAAAAGGTTGTCAGGTGAATCTTTCTTCTTTCTGTATAATTAGTTACTCTTTGAATACAGAGGTATGCGGATGACAGTCAATTTGAGGAGCTCTGTTGGAAACTGAACTGACCATATAATTTTGGTGAAAATAAGGACTCTTCAAAATGCTTTAGACTTTTATGTATCAATAATAAAATGAAGAAAATTCCTAAGTATAGGAAGAGAGCGATATAACTGAAAGGACCAGAAACCACAACATCAGTGATTTTGTGCCAAAAGGAGTACAGCAAATAAAATAATCTTTAAAACTGAAACATAATACTTACATAACACTTTCCTTGAAGGAAATAAGGGGTAAGTCTGTGTTGCTTCAAAACCAGTCTTGTGGGCTGTGAAGACAGCAGCCTATGAGATTATTTGTATCCTCCTGGACACGCAGAGGTGGGCAAGCTCAAACATAACTTGCCACCTTTGCACAAATGAAAAAGGAAGACAACAGGCAGCCTGCAGCTGCTAATGTGGCAGTCATATGGAGAAAAAGTGGAGGTAACAGCAATGTAAGAGGAGCAGGAGGAAAGTGCAATACAGAAGGCTAGAAATAATTCATCTCACCCAGAGCATTCCTGAAATACAAACAATATGCCCTGAAATTCAAAAGCACAAAGAGGTCTACATCATTAGAGTTCCTTTCTTTTTTCTTTTTTTTTTTTTTTTTTTTTTTTTTTTTTTCCTTTCCTGTCCCCTGCTCCCATTGCACAAGAACACATAATTTATATCTTGAAAATGAATTATTCTGTGGTGGCATACTCATGCCTGTTCAGTTATTCCGCTTATAATTTCAGCCATCAGCATGAGCACTTGCATTTTCAGAGCTATCAATATTCAAATCTCTACTCTGGCAGGCTTTCTGCAGTTGAGTTGCTCTGTCAGGTCTTATGTAGGACCGAATAGGATCCACCCTGAGGTGAACTGAGGTTCTTGCAAAGACAATGCATAATGAAGGGTGAACACTGGTGGATATATTTCTCCTACACTTTAATTTGGAAAGCCAGCAGAATCGCAGTGGGAACAGGCATCTTCCTGACAGGTTTCACAATCAGCCTCTGTAGGCTGATCACACAAAAGCAAGGGCTGTCCCTTAGGGCCTGCCTGCTGGTCTAGAACCAAAAAGCTGGCTTGCCAGCCTTTCAAATAGGGCATTCTGTCTATTTTCCACAACAGGGGTGTATAAAACATTTGTACTTGCATAAATAAGGTTCTTAGCATTCCTAGGTCATATACAACAGTTCAGAGACTGCTCTGATGTTGAGCTTCCAATGTATTTGCACCCCAAGGTAACCTTAGATAAGATTTTTATGTATGCTTTTAAGGAACTGAAAATAAAATCTAGTACAGATGTATGGGTAGAATATATTTGTATATTACATTTTCCATTTCATATAACATCCACTTTTGCATACTAAGAATGTGTGTTGAGGAAGATACTTCTACAGAGGTTTGTCAAGCCACTTCCAATTGTAATATAACAATACTGCATCTTTCATGTAAGTTGTAGAACAAGATCAATTCCACAGTAAACAGGATTTCTACCTCTTCTGCATTCTTTTTGCACTGTGGGACTCCTCTAATTTTTGACAGAGGATTGCAAACCTCCTTCACTTTCCTGTTCCTGGGTTTTTTTGTTTTTTAAAACAAGCTTTCTGCAAAGAATGTGATATGCTCTAATCATTGTTCCGTACAGTGGAATGCTCTGTAACTGATTACTGCTTTTGGATTTTTAGGCCAGAAATCTTTAATTCATATGGACTTGGGTATTCCTTTTCCTTGGTATCAGGACAATGATAACATGCCATTTTCTTGAACTATAATATATCTTTCACTTGTATGTGTGCGTTTTTTCCTTCATTGATTTTTGTGTTTGGTGTTTTCCTGGAAAAAATATTCCTCATAAATATTATAGTCTGGATCACTGAAATGACTAGATGGAAATTTCCTTCTGAAATACTTGAGGAAAAATTACTATTTTGACCTTTTTCTTTAATAGAAGTAGATACATCTGAAGGAAAATTTCTTTTTTCCTGACTATACTATGTAATAAAAGTACAATATTGTATCACTAGCTTTATGGTTAAGATGAAATGTGATTATAAAGAATGTATTGGTTTATGTTCAGTTTTAAGAACCTCTGTGTGCCTTTCAGGATTCATTTTAATGTGTTCACATTGATCAGAGTGAAGATTGCTATGGATAGATAAGGAAAATGTAAAACTATTTGAGATAATTATGAGAATTAGCATCTCCTCTACTGAGATCTGTGTTCGTGGTACCTTTCTAAAAGACTGCATAACTGAAAGCTGTGTTTGAACTAACTTTATAGTGTATACATTTCAATTAAGATACAGTCTGTCTAGAGCGTACAATGTGTTACAGCTCACTCTGGAGCTTAGAGATTGGCACACAAGTCTTATGTCCTCGGATATACAGCTACAAACGTTGAACTAATAGGGTAGTATTTTCAATGTGAAAATGAGTTTTGGATATAAGCTAGAATTTACAAATGCATTAAAAGAAAAGCAGGTGATATTTTTTAAATTGCTTCTGAAACTGAATCATTTAAATTTCAAAATAAAACTCTGCACGTAAATATATGTTGTTTCACAGCCTTCTTAAAAATATAACTTTGTGTATCTAGCAAGCTTTCTGCTCAGTGCTCAGGTTTAATATGGTATGCTTTAAGAATGGATGCTGCCTATTCATACAGCATTCACATGAAAACGTGAAGAACACATCATGTGGAAAGTGGCACAAAAACCCCTTTAAAAACCCTTCCCACCTTATTCTGCCGAAGTTTAAAAATTGTTCCACCCATACTGAGTATTGAACACGAAAAGACAGAAACAAAAGAAATTGATAAGCACTCTCTGCTTATACAGTTTTTACAGTTCATTATAATAGCTTCAAAATTAGTTGTACATCATTGTTATAGGAAGACTAATTATTGTGTTTATTGTTTAGATGAATTCTGGTTCTCAGATGGGTCCTTATCTGATAAAGCCAAATTCAATGATCCTGGCCTGATGCCCCTGCCAGACACTGCCACAGGGCTAGACTGGTCCCACCTGGTAGATGCTGCACGAGCGTTTGAAGGTAACAGGAAAATTTAAATAAAGATCAATGTTCAGTACATGAACTTTTTTTTTTTTTCCAAATATATATTGTATAGCCACATTTTGAATTACAAAAATCCAGTGTTTGCCTCTGTAGCCCTTTAGTTCTTTTGGCAGTTATCACTTCTCAGTGTGGAAGATTGTCACTGAAAATTTGGGGTATTCATGATACTTTCAGTATCTATCTTAGATACAATTCATTGACTTGGGGCCTAAGTTCCTTCTGTAATCAATTGGAAAAATCAGGTGCTTTGAAGGAGAGATTCAAAGCATTTAAGTTAGATGTTTAAAATGAAACTGAGAGTAACTCTTCCCTGAGTTTATTGTGTTGTGTTTATAAACTTGTACATGTAGTCCAAATGATGTTGCAGTCCCTCTCAGTTTTCATAATAAGCCCTTGAAAAACAGCAAAAATGTACGCTATATTTTCCAGTAACAGTACTTGAGGTGCAGGATATAGACCAGATTTGCATTATTAAATTATAAGACCAGGTTAACTAAGAAAAAAACTCATTTGCCTCTCTGAGAGCTAAACCTATACATAATGTATAAACACAGAAAGGTGGATGTTGGTTTGAGCATATATATTAATATATGCAGTTGAATATCTGTGTTTTGTTGTTTCTGAGGGTGTTTTGATTAGGTCACTGTGCAGTTCCTAAAATTTCCAACATTTCTTAACTGGTGTTACTCTCATTAGTGAATGTATAGCAAGTCAGAGGTGTCTGTGAATAAGGATGACATTACCACAGTCATCATTATATAAGATAGAGGTCTTAACTTTATGAGGAGAACTGGTGAGCTGTTCCTCTGGTTTTTAACTGAAAGCAGCCATAGGAATCAATTTTCTGGTACCTGATTCCTTCCCTAAGTATGAAGTGATTAAATTTCAATTTGATCAAAAGCTCTTCAGAACTACTTACTATACTAATTTAAATGGCATTGTTAAAAACCGAAACCAACAGTGATGATTAGCAATCTAAAGGACTGTATTGTTTCTTAACTTAACTATATGTGCATTCATTACTCTTCAGTACTACTCAAACACACCTGTTGTAGCTGGCAGGAAGTACTGTGACGCAGAGAATCTGACAACTGTTCCCATGCATTTCTATGTTTGATTGCTCAGGGAACATCCTGCTATTTGTTATTATTATTAAACAACTGAAAATAGATTTGGATCAGTAAATGACTAACTGTAACTTTGTACTTGAAGAATATTTCTAAATGCTAATAAAAACTGAGTTCAGCTGACTAAAAGGTCATTCTGTACCAGTTATGCTCCTGTATTTTTAGCTTTCTTTGAAAACTTTAATAGATTTTCATTATTTTTATTACTTAATGTTGTGATGAACATAATTTAACTTTGGTATGTGTTACATGAGTGTAATTACCATTTGAATTGGAGAGAGACGGAGGTAGAACAACATAGCTATCCACAGTGCCCTATCCTAGGGAGGAGGAGTATTCACTTGTTGGGGTTTAATTGCAAAAATCTTAGATATATCTGTAGATAATGCTGAAGAACTGATGGTTTGAGTCACAAGATAGAAACTTTTTATTGGGGTTTTCTTGAATTATTGTAAGAATTTGAGTAGTAAATAATAATCTAGTTTTGTGTGAAGGAATGTAATTCTTTTCTGTTTAGGACTCTGCATACATCTGTCTATATGCTAGATGATATAAAATGTTTTGACTAAATTCATAGTACTGCAATTTGAAATTTTTACAAGGAATGGAATTTTTAAGCCCTTGTTCAACTTTCTCTATCCTATGTTTTGCAATCTGAAAGTCATTAAAAAAAGAATAACTGGTAGGCATGTCATAAGAAAATCACTGGGAGGGAATGTGTTGGATATGAATTAGCAGATGCAGTTTCCTTATGTATTTTAATGTTGTTGACTTACAAGTTGCTTCATCTTACTATTTAAAAATAGCTTGGAACTACTGTTCTGCATTCTGTCAATGTGAAAAAGAGAGCAGATGATTCTAAAGTTTGTCCACCTCTGAATATACAACTGCTTTGACCTTTTTATTAAACTGGGTGGAAATGTCATCACATTTTATATAGGACTGTCTCAAAAAAACCCAAAACAAACACCCTCCCTCCCCCAAACCTTCAGTGATCACAAAATGGATAGGACTTGTTTAATACTGATTTAAGATATTAATGTTAGAGTTGTTCTCTAGTTTGACTTTCCAACCTGGTATTTGAAAGTTGTGTTCTGTTCTAGAACCTAGGTGCAAGACTGAATTTTAATTTTTTCCTTGTACAAGGTCTTTTCTTAATATCGGTTTGTTAGAATTGTCCATCTGATTCCAAGGTCAGGGTTTTTTCCCTGTGATCTCTCTAGATTGTATGTTGACAACTTACATATTTTGATCAGTTCAACATCCATAATGTGGGCCTCACAATCCTTCATCTGTCTGTCTTAAAATGCAATTGTATCTCAATTAACATTAAATATAGCCTTTTTAGGTGCTTATAATGTTGGCGTTAATTGGACTAAGAATTAAATATAGCAGCAAGATTTTTGCTACCATCATTGATACTCAGAGTTTACTCATGGGTGTAACAGGAACAGCGGTCTCATAGCTCCCCCCTCTCCCCCCAGATGAACAGCTGACTAGGTTGTTTATTACTTAGTATTAGCTTTTATTTAACTGAAGCCTTTGTCCTATGCAGAACAGCAGTTTTTAAACTGTGGCCCATGAGAGTGTAGTAAATCATTACTTTTTTTTTTTTTAATTGGAAGTATGATGCTAATGCTTTTCACTTTGTGAGGGCTTCATTTTCACTGCTTTTGCTTGGCAAGAACTTTTGTGGGAAGCTGAATATTTACTTCAAATTTTTCCTGAAAATCCTCTGTTATTCCTAAGACAGGTCTTCACCGTGCAATGGAGAGCGGTGCAGGCATTAACTCCACAGGCTCCAGAAGCTGCATCAGTAAGGGGTTTTGCTTGAGCTGTGTCTGTTAAGGGTCAGCATCCATAAGCTGGAGTACAGTGCAACATTATTTTAAGTCTTTGCACTGCCTTCCTTTGCAGGACACAGTTTTGACTCTGATGTTTATCCAGAGATCATCTTTAGCATGCATGCAGTAAGTAGCAAGGGATATCCTTCCATTTCTTTCATACATGGATAGGCTACTTCCAGTTCCCTTCTCTTATTTTGGTGGGAGTGGCAGAGAGACAGTAACCAGGAAGCAGTTGATGTGCTTAGAAGTACACTGTTGTAATATTTTTGTAGCCATCCCTGAAGCAAACAATAAAAAAATAGATAGAACTGGATGTGACTGTACAGCAAAAGAGGTAGGGTTTTAGGGAGGGCAGCCTGGGTGAAAAAGGAGAAGTTAAAGCAGCAAAAAGAAAGCAAGCATGTTGAACTGAGTAAAGATAAAGATATGGGGATTTATAGAATAAATTGGAAAGCTGAATTAGAAAAAGGAGAACACAGAAATCTCAGAAAAGAATAAGGGAAAAGGAGAGAATGTATTTTTTTAATTCTCTTTTTGTATCATCCTTCCAGTAGATCTCCAAGTTAGGGAAGAAGGACTGGCTTTCAACATGTGTATTATGGTGCTGATGGCTAATTTTGGATCTTTCTGATGTTTTGGGGAACAAAAGAAGAAGCGTTTCTAGATGTCCTGTTACTGTCACTACAGGAGAGAATTGACACAAACATAAATATTGACTATTAGTATGACCAGAACTTTGTACTATTTGTGCTACTTTAAACTGGGTTTATTGTGCTTTAAAAGAAGCTGTTTAGTGTTTGGTAAATCATAGTGTGGGAATTAACAGCCTAAGAAAGTCCCTCTGATGTCTTTGATTTAGTTCATTAAAATAGGTGGTTTGAACTTCTGATTTTTTTTTCCAGGTTATTTTTATGAATGTCTACTAGTGCCAATCAGAATGTAGTGTTTCTTAATGCCAGTTTATCTGTGCAGAAACATCTGTGCTCCTATAATTAATATTATTTTAATACTTTCATTTAAAATCTTTATAGCTTAATGCAAGTAATGCTGCACATAACATAATGAGAAAGAAGTGAAGCATTCAGCATGAGAGAGAATTATTTTAATCAAATTAGTATGTTAAGCTGCTAGAAAAAGAAAAAATGAAAATATTTAGTTAACATTTGGTTATTTCTAGTGCATGCATGTGTAAGTCTCTTTGCTTCAGTGCATATGTCAGTGTATGTCTGTGGGTAGACTTTGCCTTAATAAAGAGAGCACCTTCATGCACTATACTCATTTTAGCCTTTTCTGCTCTCCGGTACATCAAAATTGCCTGGAGTTTTTTCTGGCCTCTGTCAGTGGTCTGGAACAATGAAAATCCAGATTCAAATTCTTAGTGGATACAGCTATACAATTCTATTACTTTAAGGTGAGACATGAATTTTATCTTACCTTTGGTCTTGCTAAGTGGTTAGTATGCACATATCACTTGAATTGAATAGGAGGTGTCCCTGTAGTTTGGAGGAAGCAGGACTTATGTCTACACAGCATCATAGTCAGAAATACACTTGATTTTTCTTTTGGAAAATTAACTGTTGGTGAAGGTAGCTATGGTTTCATTTTCAGGAATATAGATTCAAGCCAATTCTGTTACAAACAAATAAAACAAAAATCAGTAGGAAGATTTTGCTCTTTGAAGCACAAGTTCAACCTTCACCACAATTCAGGTTTAAAAACAGTTCTGATTTAGACGGTGAATTGGTGAAACTATTGATAAGCCTGAATACTTATAGGGAGATCAGCGAGATTTGACACAGTTACTGAAAATAAAAATGTGTCTTTAAAAGTACTTGAAAAGTGTTCAAAGGCAAAATATTTTGCTAGTCCGGGATCTTGTTGATGTACTACTTATTACAGAGATTTATTGTGTTACTAACTTGTTCAGAGAATGATTTTGACACTAACCTGGCTTTTGAAAATTAAGGAACTACTCTTTGAAGAGCAACACAGGAATTTACGTAGCATGTTGTATGATTGGAGACTTCTGGTTATTAGTGGCCATGTAGTGACTTTATTCCTCACCTGATTAATGTGAGAATATGGTTTCATATTTTATAAAGATATGAATACTGGAAAATATGTATAAGTTATACTAATAAAATAGAAAAGGTTTAACGATTAATTTCCTAATCTAAGTGTTAGTATTATTTTTTAATTATGTGGAGTTGAAATTCATTAGGGATTACACAAGGAGGAAAAAGTTAATCCACACATTATACTTCATTGCAAGCACCCACGTTTTTATATTTTTGTTGTGTGTTGAAATAATATGAAAATATTTCAAAATATTGTGTTTAAAAATGGCATCACCTGATTTCATTAACAGCTGCATGTACCTGTTTTTGCACCTGCTTTTATCCATCAAGAAAAAGATGCTTTCAAATACTGCTGGAGAGATCAAACTGACAAAACATTTTCTCAGCTGACAAAATAAACCAGACAAGTGGCCATCCTCTTTAATTAAGCTTACTTGGCGGAGTGAGAAAAATGCAGATTTTTTTTTTTTTTTATATATATTACAGTAGAATTGCCTCTGAGACACAATGTCACATGTCACGTATTGTTGGCCATCATAAAAACAGCAACAGCATAACGTTTGTTGCTGGCTTTGGTTTTTTTCTATCAAGTGGTAATGAAAATGTGAACAGTATAAAGATGAAATCAATAATTAGATTGTTTACACAGTCTTGTTTCTGGCCTACATACTGTGTTTGAGCTGGGAAACTAGTTTTAGTTTCTGTACTAATTAAATCTATTCAACTTAGTAAGTTTCAAATCTGTAAATGATATCATTGATTATATGTTTAAAATTATATTCTTACCTTATTGTCAGCACATGAAAAAGTCATGTTCCTATTTGCTGAGATCCATCACTAGTCAGAAATAAGGATAAAAGCAGGGGAAATGGACTGTGGTCTTCAAAATTGGACAAAAAATGACATGCAACTTTTTTCATTATATTATAGAACGAATTGTCAGTCTTTGCTCTTCCTTAAAAATATTGATTTTAAAAATCCCTGTAAAGAGCTTTTTAGTGATTTCCTATTCTTGTTTGGTAGAACTTTTAAACCAAAATTTCCTTCCTAGTTAAAATGATCTGGCCTGTATTCACTGTTTGGGTGCTTAGAGTTTGGAGGGTTGTCTTTTTATATATCATGCCAAGTTGTCATGCTGTGTCGCAATACAGGGTATTACTATTAGAGACATGAGGCATGACACCTCATGCTTTACTGTAATGTTGGTGTTGTGTAAAAATGGCATTGCAAGGCTGAGAATGAGAGCCTGCATGAGTTGCACGGGGAGTATTCCACTGTGTGCGCTGTACGTGAGGGCCACAGCTGCTCCAGTGGAGATGGACTGTCTTGTTTATAGGAACATTCTAAATCTTATTCCAGGTTTTGACTCAGATGAAGAATTTGGGCCGTTCTGTCATCACACGCCGTTTCTAGGTGATGGTCTGGGATTGATGACTTTTGCCTTTTGTAAACTTTCTTTAATATTTCCTATGTTTGCACGTTTGCATGATAATGCAAGCTTTGGGCCTGTGGGGTGGTAGAGCAAGGGGAGAAAGGGCAAGGCAGGCATGTTGTCGCAAGAATTTCTACAAGCCTACAGCCATGGATTGTGTTTGACAGAAATAAGTTAAATCAATCTCCACAGAATATGGATTTTTTTTTTTTTTTTAAAGATGACAAATTAAATCCCAATGAATGCATCATTTACTCCTGTTCTGGGCAATGATGATCTGCATGGCATACTTCTATTATGTGGTGACTGATGTATTTTGGCAACCACACTGTATATCCATAGGTAATTACATCTGTGCTTGTTAGATTATGTTCTAGTGGAATCCAATGTAGATAATAGCGTGCCTTAGTAATATATATAACAAAAACTCACTTAATAAAAATAAGTGAATTTATTGTTTTTCAAGTATGCAGACTACCATTAGGTTCTGCAAACACTTGAGACAGTAAAAACAGTACAAAATGAACAGTGCAGATTTCTGAGGAATCTGATGGCTTTAAGTCCATGGAAAATGCAAAAACCTTTTCACTGAATTATTATTGTCATTGGTTGTGGCCCTGAATTCTCAAGTGGTTTTCTGCAGATTTCATCAAGACTAATTTACTGCTCATATCAGCATTAACTGGTCCAAGCAAATCTGTCTTACTCTGCTGATAGACAAAAAATTGCTTTGGGGTTGCCTTTGGATGCAGATGTGGGGAAGCCAACTAGTTGGAATACACTTTACATCTGCTGATTATCTTCAAAGCTGTGATGTAGAAACCTACATCCATTTCTCTAACTGAACCAGGGTAATGGCTGTAATATAGCCTTTTATTTTGTATATATGTCCAGCTTTAAATGTATTCCTTACATTACGTTTTTTACAGATCAGAGAGTAGCGTCTTTTTGCACCTTGAATGATATGCAGCAAGCTCAGGGCTTGGAAGGAACACAAGAGTTACCTTTGGATGAGAGTCCCACAGATGGAAAAGATTTCCTTGAGGCTACTGGGTATGTCAGAATTAAAACATATTTCTTAAAAAAAAATTTAAGAAAATATTTTCTCTTAATGTTGCATGTCAAATTGCCTGTATGCATGTTTCACTGCTATTTGATGGCGGACCTGTTACCTTGACTGACCGTATCTTTAATTTTGAAAAATGTTGTTCCTTGGAATCAACCTCTGAGCAGTTCTATCTAGAAAATTTGTAGTATAGTCAGATAAAGCTCTCTCACTAGAATAGGCCTCTAATGCAGAGTACGGTTAGATGCAGAGTTTCAGCTAATCGCATTTTTCACTGTATTCCTCCCATACGGTAATTGTATTACACTTATTTCTATTTTCATTTGAATAGAACCGATAACAGGAGCTCAACTCTGTAGTATGCAATAACCTTCTCTGCAGCAAATGTCTCAGACCTTGGAACAGGTGTTCCTACCTACCTTTTGCAACTATTTGCTACTCGAAAATCCATAACTTTTCATTTATACAGAGGTAAATTAATCAAGAGAACCTGTAACTGAGGACTGCAGGAAACTTTTATGCCAAACTGCCCAATTCTTCAAATTCGTCCCAGTGCTTTGGGGGAGATGATTATCTTTTTATTTGTTTGTTTTTTCCCCCGCCTTCCCTGCTATGAGGAGTATACTTGTTAAAAACACAGATTCAGCAGTATAATCTGTCCACTACTATGCTTTAAAAGAAAAACACATCTTTGATTAGTTTTGCTCTTCAGCTGCAGGAATGGAAGAACAGGAAATGGAGGGAAAAGTCTTCTTGCTTGTTAGACTATCAAATTTTAATTTGAACCTATTTTACACAAATTAACTTGCTTACATGATAAAGCACATTTATTGTAATGACTTCTAAGTCCACATCTTTCCCCAGCCTAGTGATCAGTGAGGATTGCAAAAGACTGTTAAAGATGTTCCACTTTTAGCACTGGCAAATCTGTCAGATTTGTGCACTTGCATGAAGCAGCTGATTCAGCTTTGTATGTAAAGCTTCTCTCTTCAGCTTCTCTCTCCTAGACAAAATGTTTCACATGATGGCTAATTTCATCTATAACGTATATGAAACTGTCTCCCACAGTGCTCGTTGTCATACAGGAAACAGAAGCTATTCCCAGTATGTTCCTTCAGTCATGCACTTGATTAACCTGTGGCAATATTTCATATGTTTTGACCTTTAAACAAAATATTTGTCTCCATAAAGCCATAGGTTTATCCTTTACTGGAAGTGACACAACTGCAGACCAGACAAAAGAACTCTTAACAGCTCTTTTGGTTTACAATAATTGCTGCTGCAGTTTGCTTCAGATAGTACAGTCCTTATCAGAAAGCAGCTTGTTAACAAACCATTTAGCAGCCAAGTTTGACTTGCACTGTGAGGGTATGTGCAAATAATTCCTAAAACATTCCTTAAAATCATTGTAATTTCTGCCTGATTTGCATGAGAGGCAGTGTCATATTTCAGATATTGCAGCAATGGGTTTATGTTCCAGTAGGTCTTTTGCTGATGCTGGTTTTGTCTGTGTTTTCCTAACTATGCCTAAAAGTGTTACTCTGCAAAAGCTGGGGGAGAAAATGTTTTTAACTAACACAGACTGAAGGTAGTGCTTTGCTTTACAGGGAACATGCTCCGAGTACTCTGACTGGAAAAGTAAACCAGCTAGAAGTCATCCTGCGGCAACTACAGACTGACCTGAGAAAGGTAAGAGATATTATTACTCTCCAGTTTTAATAGTTATATTTTTATGTAGAGTTCATCAAGGGCTTGAAAAAAGTACATCAGTTAAACTAGACAGTGTAATTCATGAATGGTAGAGCCCAGTGGTTGATCAGAACGCTGAGGTGCAGAAGGTCCTGTGGGAGTGGTTATGTGAACAAGCTGCCCCAAGGCTAACTGGTCTTTACTCCAGAATAACTGTCCTACGTGTAGTCATAACCCAGAGGAATGAGGCACTTTATCTCCATTTATGGTACCTTGGATTTAACAACGGATAGGGATATGGACATGGGCACTATTGCTAAGTAGTTAACACTCCGGATTTGTCATCCTTGTTGCCTTGTGGTTTCTTGGTCATGTAACAATGATTTGCTTTGTGTCTCATTTGCTGTCTAATTTCTGAGCTGGAGACAATGCCAGGACTGGTAGAAATGAGACTGCTTTTGGTAAGAAAATAATCGTGTAAGGGAAAATTTTGAAATTAGGTATTTTTCTTCCTTAACGTATGCTTGAAATGAATTCCTTATGACATGGGCTCTCACATACGATTTGTAATAGCTAAAAGCTTCTTACCCTTTCAGTGCTTGAATTTTTTTGTCAAATGGAGTAAACTCCTACCATTTTTTGTATGAAAGCAGCATCTAGTTTTCTTTTTGGCTTGCAGTATTATCTCAGAATGAATGAGGAAGTTGGAGCATATTTGGGGAATTAACTTGGGGGGAACTAGCTTTGGGGAATTAACTAACAACAGTTAGTAGTTGTCAGAATTGATTAAGGAGCGCAACAAAATATAGCTGTATGACTTGCACAGAAATATTAACAACAAAAATAAATGCTGTCGTCATGACTACTCACTTTACTCAACTTGTATCTTTGTTAACCAGGAAAAACAGGACAAGGCAGTTCTCCAAGCAGAGGTACAGCATCTGAGACAAGATAACATGAGACTTCAGGAGGAGTCTCAAACAGCAGCTGCTCAACTGAGGAAATTTACGGAATGGTTTTTCAATACGATAGACAAAAAATCCTAATGGCTGGGCCCCTGGAAAATAATACTTACTTGAACAATGTAACAGCTGTATTTTTTGAATTAGCGGGGTAATAATTTCACTGTGTTCACAATCCATTTTAGGTGTTTCTGCTACATTCTCTATCCAGCTTTATTCATTTGGAAAGGAGAGAACACTGTAGTAATCCGTCTTTAAATTCATATGAAGAAAGCAGAGAATAGCAGATATTTGTTTGTGTGCAGATGAATGTAAAAAATCCTTAGTGTCATTTTAGACATTTTTAGAAGATGCTCTGGCTGGGGCTTGCCTGAAGAGGAATATTTGGGGTTTTAGTTCCTGCATTTCAGGTGCGCTGGTGAAGATGTTAAAGCAATTTACATTAGCTTGGGCTTCGGTATTGTAAGATAAAAAGAATAACCAGACATATACTTTAATGTTTAAAAGGTGCTCTATTTTTTTGTATGTACAGTAGTTTTATTTCCACAGTCCACATTGTCATAGCAATAACAATGGAGGTATAGTGAATAGTCACAAAGCTGTGTTTATAAAACGTTAGCACTGATGCGTTTAACACTAGTTTGGATGCAGATACATTAGAGATTATTTATTTGCAGGAACAAATGGTGCCTGAATATAAACAGTGTTCTGATTTTTCTAAAAGTACACATGCCTTGTTAATGGCTCACTGGGGTTAGCCCACTCCCAACTTCAGTTACTTTTGTATAGTTGATGTTCAGCTAAACAGTTACACTGCTTAACTATTGAAATCATGTATGGTGTGAGCCAGCCAATCAATTGTACAATGCCAAATTTGTTTATCTTTGTACAGAAGCTTTGATCAAGTGTCTTGTATTTAACACCTTTATTTAAGCTTATTTAACCTAAATTGTTGTTTTTATAAAGTTTGTTTTATCTGCACTATGGTGAGGTCAGTTGGTTGCAAGTTGTAATATTTTTAGCTTGCCAAGACCGTACTGAGGAGTTCTAGAAAATTCTAACAATTGGATGCTGCTAGTACACAATTGATTTGTTTGTATGCTTTAACATTTTTAACTGTTTAATTTGAAATAAACATACATCCTGCTTTTTTAATAAATGTTAAAAATCTAAACCTGAATTATTTTATCTTGTATTATCTATGACCACTGTCACCAGTAATAGCTCAGGGTTCTGTTCAGCCCGCTATCTCGGTTCTCAGTCTGGAGACGGTTCAGCCCCCCAGAGCTCTCACGATTCCTTGCTACCATTGAGGAACCATCAACGTTATCAGAGTTGACCTCTCTGTTGTGTTCTATCCTATAACTGAGGAGGTAGCTTCACGGGTCAAGGAGCCAAAGCTGTTTTGACTGTTCACAGGCATTGATTAGTGACCTAGGAGAAAAACTGCTTTACCCAAAAAATATATCCGAAAGAAAGTTTTCAGAAGGGGTCTAGTTTTCTTGTATTATTTTACATTAATTGTAGCAGCAAATAGCTTGCCATCTTCTTGTGCTGGCAATAGAGGATTTGACTGTAGTGTTAGCATATGTGAGATGTTTTGTGTATAGTACTGAGCTTAAAGCCTACTCCAAAAAAGTACAGTTTTGCAAAGTGAAATGCAGCTAATGAGCACGTTTGATGTTACCGTTCTGAGAGAAAAAAAAAAAAGTTCAAGATCATGGTTGTATCCCAGTTTCAGCAACTGAATACATTCAGGCAAACCTACAGAAAATTGTTGAATAGTTAAAAAAGACATTCAGCTGATGCAAGTAAAATTCTGTATTCATCGTTAGTGCGTATCGGCTAAGAAATGTTTTGTAAGTTGAACAAATCTCTGTCCCTGCTATAATAATTGTTCTGAATGACTGCTCTTAGGAAAGGTTATACATGGGCAGAGAATCAAGTCTTCGGTATCCTTACATTCAAATGAAAAAGGCTATTTTGTCTTTGTATTTTTCATCAAAAACTCTGACTCTTATGTACCAAACAATATCCATTAAGCTGTATTAACTTAGAGTAATTAAACATGGCAGTCCTGTGTTACACTAGATTCTGATTTAAACACCTTACAGGAATCATTAGCAAACCCATCTGGCTGGAGACCTTGCCAAATAAAAGTGCTGAACAACTTGGGCAATTTGTCTGTGAACATGTTTCTGTGAGAATTGGTTTGTCCACTTTGAAAAGCCGTGCTAACTGAAATGAACTTGAGAATAAGCTTGTTCTGAAGGCATGCTATTAGGTTTGTATAAGAGTTTATAGTCCAATATTCATTTTAGCTCTTTATCTCTCAGTTACTGAAAACAAGTACCTACCTGCACAAAAAGGATTTTCAGTAGCTATCTTCTTTTCCCATCCAACTGAAAACATTTTATTTCCGAAAGTGACAGAAAACTTTGTCTACAAATCTCTTATTCCCTTTGCTGACAAACGGAGTTGTGTCAGAGTCACATGGTTCTTCTTTAACTTTCACCATGGGATAAAGTTTCTACTCTGGCTGTTACTGTTTTAATGACATGTGAATACAATATTTGTCAGTTTTGGCATAGGTAAAGGCCATTTAATCGGACATTTTAATTAACTGGTTTTTAAGAATAAGCCTCTCACAGACGTTTTGCTAACAAAAATGCCTGTTTTAGACACATGGAGGCAAAGGCTGAGTCTACGTAAGAAACTAGCGTGGAGCACCAGGAAAATTTAGAGTGGTGCTAACCCAGGTTTTGGGAGTGGGAGGGGATCTTTCAGGCTCTTTCTTGTCCAGTCCCATGACCGGACACCTCTTAGTGGCTGAAATCATATGTTGGGTGGGCTCTGGCTTAGCTTTGTCTGGAAGCTCTGTGCTTTCAAACCAATCCATATGAACCAAAGCAGAATGAGTGGAGATGATTGAGAAATTCCCTTCAAAGACGTGTTTGTGATCTGAATTAAAACAGTAATGTGGAAGTGGTTTAAATGACAACAAAGTCTTCCCAGCACAGCAGGCCGTGCTGTGAAGTACTGAGATGCAGAAACCAACCATGTGAGCCAACGCGGGTGTTTACTTCTGTAAAAGGGACAAGTACAAATCATGGCAAAATTACAAAATGCTCTGCTTCTGCCTTAAAAGTGACACCCTAATTTATATGTAGATTGTTATTGAAGGGATCCTTACTAAGACATTTCTCACAATGTGGACTATTTTCTTATGTATATTTTTTTCTGAGACCACTATTACAAACATAAGGGATAAGTTTTGGTATTTTTTATGTTCCTGACAGTGTAGTCATACTGTGGTTTAGGCATGTGATACCTTTATACAGAAACTTTATACATCCTCTGCATATTATTTAATATAAATTCTAAAATTAGTTCATCTTATTTTGTGCCCCAAATCCAGTTATGTGGGAAAAATGTTTAAAATATTTGTGATATAAACTAGCGTATTGTAAGGCAGTTGCTTAGAAAAACAATTTTCCATCTGGAAAAGAAGAGAGTTGCTGTGTCTATTACGTTGTCGTTGCAGCATTTTTTGACCTCTCTGTGCTGACTGGTTCTAATACCTAGGAAATTCAGTGAAACTTAGGAATTGGTGTTGTATGATTTGAAATCATCAGAACCATTAATTATTGCCAAGTTATTCTTCACCCCAGCTTCTGTCTTTCACAGGAAAGACTAGAAGAAAAAGAATGTCTTTCAACTCAAAAGCAAACAAAATCTTGCTTCTGCATGTTTGGGAGCAGATCACGCAAACTGAGAGGGAAAGGTATACTTTAGCAATCCTGGAAATAAATTTGTTAAGAATATAAATCTTAATCTCTGCTCCTTTCTCTATACACACAGGTTGTATTTTTCATTCGATTCCTCGCAATTCCTTCATTTCACTCCCTCACCATGTTCACTTGCTTTCTGCAATAGATCCCTGGTCTGGACAGCCGGGGACAAGTCTGTGTGGGTTTAGACAAAGCCATGAAGAGGCAGGGCTTAAACATTTTGCAGTCTTTGCTCCTACATTGTTCTCCACAGTGGCTGCAGAACAGAAAGTGAGGCAGGTACAATTCCATTCAGGCTTGCAAATGTAAGTCTTCGCTATTTTGCAAACTCTGAAGTTACTCACTGTCTTAACAAAGTGCTAGCTTTCTGAATCAGTTTTTGAGCCATGGGTAAAGCACCCAGGCAAGAATGTGTATTTCCAAAATAACTGTATAGCAGATTTCTAAAACATTCACCAGGGAAAAAATTAAAAAAAAAAAAAAAAAAAGAAAAAAGGGGTGGGGGATAGAGAGAACATTTTCTTAGGTTTTATTTCGATTCTTCTTTCAGACAGACAACCAACATTGCTGGCTGTTGTACCAACTTACGGGGACATAGCAGGATCAGAAAATGGAATGAACAGGCCAAATCACTCATAGCAATGTTAGAAATCACTGGAAGGTTTCAGACAAATCCTATTTATTGGAATTGGAATTGTTGGAATCCTATTTATTTCATTGACTTCTTTAGGGAAATAGTTTTATGTCCTTTGTTCTGGTTTTGGTTGTTTTTTTTTTTTTTAATATGTGAGCCTTTTTCCTCTACTAAGCATCAATATTGAAAGGCTTCTTTGCTATACAGCATCACAGAATTAATCTAGTAATACTCATATTGACCTTGTCCTCATCGGAACAAACTTGGGGCTGATAGGTGAATAACACAAATGTGTTAGTTTTGCAGAAAGGCTATAAATCTTGTTTTGGTTTGTTTTTTCTAATTCCTGCTATACAATAGCAAATCATTAAATCTCAAAAGCTGAAAAACAGCAGATGGGCATTTTCTGACCACTGTCATTTAAAAAAAAAAAAAGATTCTTGAATATGCTGTTGATATCAGTTCAGGTGTCCTTGTGTCCAGACATCAGGTGGAGATGTTTAAAATAGATCTAAGGAGAGATGATGGAGAGTGAGGAGAGAAAAACATGCCATGTCAGAAGGTGGGACATGTCAAGTGCACCAGCAGTAATCATGAGCAGTGTATGAGTTGTGCTTTTATCGATGACGGATGACTCTATGTCCAGAGACTAGAACTTTAATAAAATAGGAAATGTTCATGTAAGTTTTTCATCTTTTATAAATCCACAGTTTGGAACCCAGAAAGAATTGTGAGAATACCTCGGGAAAAACTGTTGTCATGAGTTAACCCTGACCAGAAATCTGGGAGGTCTGCAGTACTTGGATAGTTATGACTTAATATCTAAGGAGCGGGACTTGGTTATACTGAACCCAGATTTAAAGTGTTAGAAGCTCACTCCTTTTCATCTTTGTTTCCTATTTTGAAACTGATGAAAGCGTGTGACTATTTGAGTGACCAAAACTGTTACTAATAGAATAAGTAAGTGACCCTAGGGTTGTCCAGTAGTAAATACTAGTCTACCCATCTGAGGTTCTTTTTACCGCTAACACTGTAGTCTCCCTTTCAGCTCAGGCATAACTTTGATAGATAATATTTTCTGAAGAATGTTTTGTGGAAACCTGAGATATCTGCGCTCTCATCAGTACTGTGTTTCTCCCTCTACATAGACATTTTATTCAAGACGATGGACGTTCCTTTCACAAACCCAAGACACAGTGTTTCTTTTCAACAAGAAATGTTTCTCTTGTGTGTAAGAACAGTGCTCCAGGAAGTATATTCTAGCAGTGGTGCAACTTTAAGTTGTTTGTGCTCAAGGCTGACTACCTTCTGCCACACAGCTCCCAGATTCTTGATCTTCCCTTCCTTCGCTAAGAGCTGAGTTTCTCAGTAGGGGTTTCAGTAAAAATAAGCACGAAGCAAAAAGCTCCTTCAGACTTGCAATGTCTTCATTTTGTAGGAAATACAGTTTAAAGGTACAAATATCCTATCTTGTTCTTTTCTGCACCTTCTCCTGTCAGGAAGCTTAAAAAGGAACTTCAGGGCACTTGAACAACTCAAAGCCTGTTTGCTGAGATGCTTTTTCACTGGGGGGGTGGGGGGATCCTAAACATAAGCAGTAATTAGACCAGCCGGGTTAGCTCAGTTGGTTAGAACACAGTGCTAATAACACCAAGTTCACAGGTTCAATCCCTGCTTACTGCAGGGGGGTTGGGCTCGATGCTCTCTCAAGGTCTCTTCCAACCCAAAGCATTCTATGATTCTATGATTCTAATT